ATTACAACTTGCAACAATATACATAATAATATGTAGTTTTCGAAAGAACGCGTACTCTTTTCCGACCAATGTGTCTGTTGTTTGCCAACGCAATATACTAGGGAAACTAAGGAGACTAATTTTAAGCATACCCTACGTGTATTGCTGTATCGTGGCAGTATTTTAGAGGAGCACAGCGTATCAATTCGACGATGTAAAACTGCGGCAATGCTAGTTATCTGTACCTAGACTTCGTTGGAGCCGCAACAGAGCTCCACTTACATGGGTGCTTCTCATTCGTATAGTTTCCACCGAAATTCTAGTTGTTAACGAGTACAGGAACAATTCAACTAACTACGGTTGAAAACCTCGAAATCGATATGTTTTTCTCTTATTTCTTCCATTCACTATAGCTTACTCATTAAGTTGAAACGAGTAACTTTATTTAGATGGTTAATTTTAAAAGCTGCTCACGTTATTGCAATCAACAACAGTTTCTTACTGAAGTAGTTTAATAAGAGGGGTTATAAATCTGTTGGCGAATGATTCTTTCACGTTAATGGTTAGTGTCACAGCTGTATTAGTCGTACGTTAAATTTTCTTATAACATTTCAGGTTTGAAGTTTTAATCAATGCGTACTGGTAGTATTTTTATTTTTCTTGAAAGTAGCTTAAGTAGATAATATTTGATATTGTGGGTGACAAAAACATCACCAAAACGAAGACATAAAAATGTTCTTGATATTTTGCTCTTATAAGATACAAACCCGCCTACATTAAGCCTCTTTTATAAAATATCTTTCAAAGGTGAATGTCAAGTGAAGCTACTTAAAAAACGTTATATGGATAGGACATTTATCTTAAAGAGATATTGCAGTTCCGAAGACGAGCACTCTTTAAGTGCAGGGAGGTGAAAGCGGAACCTATTGATCTAGCTCATGTGTCGGTCTGCTTGGCTTCAACTTCACAGCCGTTGTATGAAACACGTTCGACCAACGACTAAGTATTATAATAAGTGAAGTTTATCTATATAACGTTTACTTAAAACTATTTCAAATGTAACACTGCATACCCAAGCTTAGTAATGTAAGTGATTAATTTCAATTAGAGCCAAATAGAGTGATCCTTACAAATGTCTAGCGCATGCATTTGCTTCATTTGTAATACACGTACACAAAGTACTGTACTTACTTTAAGTAATTACTCTCACTAATCAAGCTGTGTACGGGTTTGAGGTTACCCATATAAAGCAGAATGTGAGGGTTCCACGATGACTAGAAATCAGAGTGTTCGTTCATTCCGCAAGGGTCATAGCACTTTACCCGTGAATCGTGATAGTTTTATTTTCGGTGTCAGACTCGGTAGACAATCGTCCTGATTCTGTTTGCAGAGAAAAAGTTTATTTTCCTTTTGGATTTATAGACTGTGGATCTAGTCCTCGATAGTAAATTATTCTTACAATTTGCTTCCTCGGCCGCCTGTCACTGGGTTTTCGTTGAACACGAATAACAACGCGTTTTTAATAGACGGATCCAATTTGTTTTCGTGATCTCAGCGTAGATTACACTAATTGGAATTGATTTGATGTTGTTTTTTGTTGTGTGTCTTTTTGTCTATAACCTAAATATTTAGTTAAAGTACTCATACAAATATTTAATTTATAATCTGATGTGTCATTGACATTTTGTACTAAAAACGTTTAACGCGTTAAAATTCCATCTTCGCATAGCTGACAATGTCTCATTAAGTTGTATAGGCGAGGAATAATAAACGCATTTATGCGAGGGAAGCTGAAACGTGCCCGAGGAAATTATTAAAACAAAGTTCATTTGTGAACTTCTTTTTGTGCGGGCAAAACCGTACCGGGCAGATAGTAAGTAATAAGCAGGAATTGGGCATTGTATCACGACAATGTGCAGTTGTTACTTTAATTTTTGCGCACCTTACTGCACTGTCTATCGGACCGGAGTTGTAGACTGAATAAAATTGCTCAAAGACTGCGATGCACGCTCGCCGAAGCGTATGCAAGCGAGCGCCCCGAGTGCCCCTTACTTACTGTATTCACTCGCGGAAATAAGCCGGGAACACATCGCATTCTTTTACGACTATCATATTTCTTTAACTCCATAAGCGACGGTTTCAATTGAATATCATTTTTCTGAAGTCACTTATTTATTCATCGATTCAAGCTAAAGGTAACGTTCAGTAGGTTGATTGATAGCATTATTATTTATGACTGAATTCGTCTAAGACCTAAGAATTCATTTAATGAATTCATGTAATGAATATCTCAATCCAAAATTATACAACAATGAACAGCTTCATTTTTAGAATACTATATTAATTTAATTAGCGGAATTCTTTGTGTTGTCAAAATATTCATCGTTTTATGACAATGGTAGCGCAGAACGATTGCTTTATGGACAAAACGCCGGCGGACACGGGCTGGCTGGCGGGCGGACGGACGGACGGAACAAGTTATAAAATAAGCCGCTAGAGGCATGTAGACGAACCACTAGCCGGTGCCGATGCCGACAGCGATGTTCGACCCAGGCGCACTGGAGCCAAGCCAAGCCTTTCAACCGCTTGCAATATAAATACGTGCTACGCGTGGCTGGACTATTCAATTGCTTCCTAGCTTTGTGTGCGATCATAAGCCCCGATTTATTGTTTTATTATTGACGTACGCAATACTTTTTACTGTTGAAAAAGTCTGAATAATAATTAACGTCATTATAGTTACGGGTGGAAATTGAAAACCGTCGCTCGTTCGTGTTCGTGTTTTAATTAAACATTAATTTTCCATTGGTTTTGTTTGTAAGCACTACTAACGATGGAGCCAATAATATAATCTGATAGGGACTAAATTGACATTATATTGATATTATTTTGTATTGCAATGTTATTTACAATCAATTTAAATAGTTTAGGTAATCAGAAACAATAAATGGCGTGGAATTTTATGTGTGCCATCAATACTTGATTTATAATGTAATTAATTTTAATTACTGTGGGTCGTATTGGAAGGACATAAAGTTATAGGTATATGTGAAATTAACAAATCGAAATTGCTCGTTTTTGATTTCGTTCCGAATTGTGT